CCTGGGTGGAGAGAGACAACCGTAGATAAAGTGCCTTGCCCAAGGACACAAGCGACTTGCACAGCGAGAGTTTTGAACCCCCGACCTCGAGGTTGGGAGTCCAAACCACAACCGATGCGCCAACCACTTCAATATCTTGCATGGGAATGGGACAATAGATTTTAAACACGCAATTTAGAGGCCTAATTTTATTTATACAGTATCAAGAGCAATCCTTAGGGTATAAAAATGAATGTAATACCTTTTATTTTGAAAAAAAATTATTTATCATAATAATATATGGTGATTTTTATTAACAAGACTCCGGTAACTAAATGACGGTAACTAAATGACAAAAAATTTAGGCAACTGCAATATACTTGAATAGATGTTTTATTATGATTTAAAGACATATCTTTAAGGTAATTGAATATCAAAACAATAGGATATCAAACTAAATATGAATGTTTAATAAAAATTAATTTATTAAAATTGATTAAAAAATGATCTAGGTTATTTCACGCCAATTTAAACAAATGCATTACACCATGGGACATCATTTTTTTCCCCTAAACTTTTTCCACTCTGACATATTCATATTCATGAGAAATGAAAAACTTAAAAATTTGAGAATCCAATTCTTGTTCGTTTTTCTGCAGCGGCAGTTTAAATTTAAGGGGTGGGCGTGCCTCGAAATAATGCGCCACAGAAATGAAAATTGATTTTTATATGCTAATATCTTCAGAAGCTGTCTCTTATACACATCTAGATGTGTATAAGAGACAGTGCCTATACATTGGTTACAATAGCCACCGGCCGACTTTATTTTAATATGCGTGGATGGAATATTTTCTTTATGAGATAACTCTAAATCAATTTACACATAATAATTTCAACCCAGAGTTCTAAAGTTTTCACCAACATTTCGGGAGTGCTGAAATTCCAGCTCCCCACTTGTCAAAGGACATTTAGTTAAAGACATATTTTTAAGGTAATTGGTTAATTAATATCAAAACAATAGGATATCAAACTAAATATGAATGTTTAATAAAAATTAATTTATTAAAATTGATTAAAAAATGATCTAGGTTATTTCACGCCAATTTAAACAAATGCATTACACCATGGGACATCATTTTTTTCCCCTAAACTTTTTCCACTCTGACATATTCATATTCATGAGAAATGAAAAACTTAAAAATTTGAGAATCCAATTCTTGTTCGTTTTTCTGCAGCGGCAGTTTAAATTTAAGGGGTGGGCGTGCCTCGAAATAATGCGCCACAGAAATGAAAATTGATTTTTATATGCTAATATCTTCAGAAGTACAACCCCCATCCCATAACCTTGAAAGTTTGTGTTACAGGACTATGGTAGGCCATACTTTCAATGCTGATTCCAAATCTATAATCAGAAAAGTTGTAGCATGTAATGATTAGAAATAGCAAATGTCTGAAAATTGGACGAAAAGTTGTCTGGACCATTGTTCTAGAGGCTATAACAGGAAGAGTTAAACCATTTTAAATCTCCATTTGAGGAATCATAGCCCACTATTATTTCTCACCTCATATACAGTTATAAACTTCTAAACTTATTTGGCTAAAATAAAACCATTCAAATGAGCCAAAAAAGATTTTTAACAGCCCGCCGCCTTTCTTGAAAATGTCTTGATATGTTGAAGAGGTATCCCTAATGAAATTATAACAATTTTTAATGTCCTTACTAAATAAATATTACAAATTTATGTTCCTCGAAAACCTATGTTTTAACCCCGGTTTTAACACATACTCAACATAATACGTATTTAACCATATTCACATCGGATTTGACCAAGACTAACAGGGAAATTCAAAAGCTTTGCAATGTGTGTGGTATTAGCATGTGCTCAGAGATACTATCTATACTGAATTTTCTAGATCGGTAAAAATAGCCTGGTCAATCTTCATGCATCTGGGCACACTTCGTTCAGCAATAAAAGTAGCTGAGATGCTAGTTAGCCAGTGCGATAGACCTTTGGCTGCAAAGTATCCAATCACAAATGATAAGTGATTAATTAAACTTTTGTCACAAAATTTAAAAAAGTCTATTTATTTCAAATAACACCACCAAAACCAGACCTAAATAGTAACAGGCCTTATTCTGAGAATATGCCAAATAAGAAACTGATCATTTGCATAATAATTAAGCTATTCAGTGGAAATTGTTAAAATACTTTACTGTATAAGACTCAAATAACATCCTTGTGAGTTACATAAACTTGAAAATTCATTCAATAACATACTTTATTGCAAATAAACTGAACTGTTTCAATACAAATTTTGACTTGTCATTGAGTTATCGCATTTAGTTACCGGCTTGGTAACTAAATGACATATTTAATATGCTAATAACTTATTAACAAAAATGAATTAGAAAATAAAATTAATGCCACTAGATAGCCCTATTAAAACTAGCTTTGTATATAAAGTTGTATTGTTTAATAAATTTGTTGTAAAAAGTTAACTTTATGTTGTTTTCTGGTAACTAAATGACATATTAATTGGTTTTAATATTTTCGCATTTTGATTAATAAA